CCCATTTGAAATACCCGCCATGCTGCTTGACTTTTCACCATGAGGGCAGCCTGCCTAAGATGTTCAAACCACTGTAAATCAACCTGGTTGATAGTCCCTGAGATAAGCAGACACCTGTGGTAAGCATCATTGTGGTTCAGCTCTCCCAAGAAAGCTGTGCACCTGCCTGCAGGGCTCACAGCTGGCAAATCAGGAAGTTCTGTCATTTATAAATTTTTTGACATTAAATTATATATTCTGCTGTGAACTACATGTTTTCAAATGTTGTAACCTGTGTATTAATTCCGTTTATTTAGGATTTCTAGAGTACACAATCATAAAGATGAGCCTAATGAATCAAAAAGATCAAGTTCAAATGCTGTCCTTGTTTAGTAATTAGCACAGAAAATCAACATAAAATGTACAATTTAGTAAGCATGCTTTCCTAAACAGAGTATAAACCAACCTTCCTACTAAATGTCATGCATATTAATAATGACTCCTACAATAATGGAGAAATAACACTACCTTACAAAGAACTGAAGCAAGTAAATATTGTCTCACCCACCTATCCCCAACACCACTTCTAACTGATAGACACGAAGTATATTCTCTCAAAATATACCTCGGCCTTCAGAGGAGATTCCTTCCCAACTACCCAATCTTCCTCTGGTCTTAGGGGCCCATCCCACCACATTCTCTAGGATGAGGGATGTTCTAGGCTTAAATCAGGTGTCACTAAGAACTGGAATGTAAGCTCTGTGAGGACAGGGCTCTTGGATGATCTGATATACTGGCATGTTTCCAGCACGCGGCAGCTACCACCTAACAGGTCTTCAGAAAGTTCTTATTAAGGGGGAAAGGATGTGGCAGCCCAGGGATGTGAAGTAAGGCTTTCTGAGTCCCGAAGTCTACTCTTCTTTTTTTCTACCAGACTTTAACAGAAAGCATCATGCTTTCTGGTTGACTCATCTAAAAGAAACTTTCCTGCCAATAAAGCTGAAGAGAAGGAAAGGAACATTCGAAAGTAGAGTCATAAGATCTTGGACCCACCTACAGCTAGACACAGAGTAACCAAAGTAAACAAATCACAGCAATGACTTTAAAAAAAAATGACACTGCATGAAAACTCTTTCCAAGGGGGATGGTTAACCATAACTATTTGCCCCCAAGAGACATGAAATTTTTCACTGTGAGCTAAAATGTTTCAAGATCCTGAAAAAAATTAAAAAGGTCCTGATTCTATATGGATTACCTATAAATACATGTGCTCCGGTTATTAGATAAAATTTCATTTAATCAGTCTAGGAAAGAAGTTTTGGTTGCAAAAAGGTCTTTTTTATCGAAGACAGGGGTGTTTTTAAATCTTTTCTCCCTCTTCTTCCAATGTAAAAGAATTAGACATTTTTGTGCTCCAGAATGGGGAAAGTGTAGAGGTTACTGCCACCAAAGCCAGTTCTTCTGGACCCAGAGGCAGATAGGTTTTGATATTCTGTTATTTTCTTTTCATTCACCACCACACAAATAATATTAATTACAACTAGGTAATACCAGGAGACAGTAGAAGAGATGATAATAAAATGCCCAGGGGTCTGACAACTGACCGCTGCGTGCCCTCACTACACTGCTCTCTCTCATTATGAAAACAAATTAAACGTCCCATTTCTAAAGGCTGATACCGATGGAAATTCACATTACTATGGTAGTATTATCCTTCTTAATTATTAAGAATCTTCTTTTTTAAACAAGTACGCCATGAGTACCTGCAAACATGGGAACAATATGTCTTTTGAACTCAGGTGTGCACTAAGTAGCTTCTCAGCCACTAATCCCCACCTTTTTATTTCAGTCACTTGGTCAAAAGAATCGACACAGCCTCCCTGGACTGTGGGGTGACATGAACAAATCCTGGCAGATGGGAAAAGCACAGAATGCAGTTACACGGGTTCTTTCTTCCACCTCTATTAAAGCCCCGTGGCACACTTACTCTGTGAGGGGAATTTTGTGAGGGAGTAACAGTTCTCACTCCATCTTTTAAAAAAACTGCAGTACAATCCCTAAAACTAGTTTCATAGATCAATGAATTTAAATATCACTGTATTTCTTTTCACACTTCAGAACTTTTTTCTTTGTCTAAATCAATATAATGCATTTCTTTATTTCAGTTAAACTCACTGTATTTCAGAAGGTTTCTGTTTTTGTAGCAATTCTAACAATTATCTTCAGAAACAGGTCTTTTCAGACACCAGTGATAGATGCATTTAGTTTCCTACTGCAGATTTTTTAAAGTCCAGGTTCTGTGGACATAACTTTTAAATATAAAGAGTCAGTAATGATAAATGTTATATAGCTACCACAGAAACAATTGCTCTATAAAATGATGATTACAAAGAATAATCCTGTATTTTAATAATAATACTAACTGCTGATATATAATTAGATTACAAATCAAACACTGTTACAAACAGTGTGATTTCACTTTTGGAAACTTTTCACAACATCCTGGTTTGAAATTAAAATAAAAAGCCATTTATGGGGGGCACCTGGCTGGCTCAGCTACAAGAGCATATGACTCTTGGTCTCAGGGTTGTGAATTTAAGCCCCATATTGGGTGTAGAGCTTACATTAAAAAAAAAAAAAAAAACCCCACAATGGGGAAAAAAAAAGGCTGCAGGGAATCAGCAAAGTTGTAATTACCATGTTTCAGTGATGGAACTATGAATATTCTTCCTATTTCCATTTTTAAATATGTGATCTTAAGTTATTTTTATAATTATAAAGAAGCAAAATGCATAAATCTAAAGAATTTTAGTGGTAATTAAGTGAGATTCAGTGACAGAACAAAGAGGGTGCTAGACTAAATGGGGAGGGGGGGGATGTTATTTGCCAAAGCCACAGTTGCATATCATCACTGAAAATTGTCTTCCCCATCAGCAGCACTGGGCACGCTCCCTTAGAGTCTCCCCTACATTCTAACATACACCGAGCTCTTCACTGCACACAGTGGAGCTCAGGAAACTGTTACAATAACGTACACAGAGAAGACGCTTTGCCAGACTAAAGAAATTATCCTATTCCAGTAACTGAACTCCTAGAGATGAAATTTAAGATGAATCCTATGCTTTTGCCATATTCCATCCTCAAACAGAATTCTAACGAGTTTCCTGTTTCCCTAACACAGCAGGACTATGTTTATGGAGAAAGTTGGTCTCACATGAACAGATAACTCAGGAGTCCATATTCATGTCATTCCTTAAACCAAGAGAAATCAAAAAGTAAACAGACAAATGTGAAAACAAACTAAACTTCTCAAACATTCAGGTTCTGTTTAACATGAGAATGTTTGTTCAAAGATTATTAAATGTGCTATTGGGGCAAGGATTTGACAGCAGAAAACAAGTTCATTACACTGAGAATTCAGTATTAAAAGCTGTTGATGGCAGGGCACCTGGCTGGCTCAGTCGGTAGAGTGTATGACTCCTGATCTCAGGTTGGAAGTTTGAGCCCCACGCTGGATACAGCCACTACTTTAAAAAAAAAAAAAATCTTTATAAAAAACAAAAGTTGTCAACATTACTGTTGTATATCAAATAAGGAAAAACCCAATAAATCTTATTCCAGATGCCAATTATTCATATTACTTTTCTACGAGTGTACTCTGTTATATTATTAAGATTTGGTTTTTGGTTTTTTGTTTTTTAATTAACAAAGTCTTTTTTAAAAGAGGATTCCTGGGATGCCTGAGTGGCTCAGTCAGTTAAGCGTCTGCCTTTGGCTCAGCCATGATCTCAGGGTCCTGGGATCAAGTCCCACATCTGGCTCCCTGCTCAGCCAGGAGGCTGCTTCTTCTCCCTCTCTCTCTCTGTCAAAAAATTAATAACGTCTTTTTAAAAAAATAAAATAAAAAATAAATAAAAGAGAATTCCTGAGTATACTGAGCACAGCCCTAGAAGAATGGCGGAAAGGAGGAAGTGCCACCACGTAGCCAACAGTGACTGAATGCCAATGACCTTTGCGCATTTTGTGAATAAGACCAGTAACAGGCAGCAAGTCTGCCGACTTCACGAGACCAAGGGCAGGAAGATTCTTTCCTTCAGTCAGTCACCGAACACTGAGTGCCTACTGGATGTCCGGCATCACGGGAAAGGTTGGAGAAACTCGGTCAGCTTAAAAAAAGACTGAAAAGTGGTCACTGTGAAGCTAGTGATGTAAGTAGAAAGGTGGCCTTTATCATAAAATTAGGTAAGTGAAAGTAAAATCATAACGCTGTGAGCTGCTGAGAGGGCAGATGACCGGTAAGCACAGTGGGCACAGGGAACCGAGGCACGGGAGGACGGGAAGACACGCGGAGTGGTCAGCGAGGCTTTACGGAGCGGGTAACACTGGAGGGTGACCCGGGGGGATGAATGTAAGGGAAGGGGCACGTTCCACAAACAGGCATCTGTGTAGTGGGGAGATGATAAGGAGTTCGGTGGGATGGGAAAATTACAATCATATGGCAAGAAATGGTGCTGGACAGTCAGACAAAGGCCAGGTATCAGGAAGGGACTTAAATTCCGTATGGCTTTTTATTGCGTTTGGTATTTTTTTTTTTTCTTAAGGAGAGAATCAAGAATATATTTTTGTGGGCGCCTGGGTGGCTCAGTTGGTTGAGCGACTGCCTTTCGGCTCAGGTCATGGTCCCAGGGTCCTGGGATCGAGTCCCGCATCGGGATCCCTGCTCCATGGGGAGTCTGCTCCCTCTGACCTTCTCCCCTTTCATGCTCTCTCTCACTGTCTCGCTCTCAAATAAATAAAATCTTAAAAAAAAAAAAAAAAAAAGAATATATTTTTGTGCCAAGGTGAAAAAGTTACAGAAACGTGACGAAATTTCAGCAGCAACGGGGCCGGTATGTTGAGAAGAGATCGTCGGAAGTGTAACATAGCTTGTAAGTGACACAGAAAGAGCAAATCAAATGTGGACCAAGGCCGTGCTTCGACAGCCCAAGATGTTCTTTTGTCCCCTTCGGGTACGAGCTTACCCCTATGATGCTCAGTCCTTTAAGGTAGTCCTGCCGAGGCTGGGCTTGAGGAACACATCCAGCTAGCACTATCTTCTTGTTCTCCTCTTGAGCTTTTCTAAAAGATTGAAGAGAAAACAGTGTGATTCTTTTGCTCACAAGTATACCCTTGGAAACTGACGTTAGTGCGTACAAGTTGTCCAAATCCTAAGAAGACCTTCCACCATGAAACTGGATTTTCTTACAACTGCACAAAGAAAACATATTATAATAAGACCCCTGCACTATGCCTCTACTGGTCATACCACCAGAGAATACGACAGCCATCCAACCTGATCATGTCTTTTGTTATGAGCCCATTACAAAACCAAAGAACTTACTCATACAGAATTCTCAAGGACATAAGTCATGCTTAAAAGCTACTTTCTATCGAAGGACATCTCAGCTCCTTCCATAGTTTGGCTATGGAGGATAAAGAAGATGTGGTTCATGCATACAGGAGAACATTACCCCAACCGTCAGAACAAATGCCCACTGTCTGCATCGACAAGAATGGAACTGGAGGGGATTATGCTGAATGAAACAGGTTGGGCAGAGAAAGGCAAGTATCATAGGGTTTCACTCATACGTGGAACATAAGGAATAACGTGGAGGACCACAGGGGAAGGGAGGGAAACTGAATGGGAAGAAATCAGAGAGGGAGACAAACCACGAGAGGCTCTGGACTCCGGGAAACAAACTCAGGGTTACAGAAGGGAGGGGAGTGGGAGGATGGGGTAACCGGGTGATGGGTTTTTAAGGAGGGCATGTGTGGTGATGAGCACTGGGTGTTATACGCAATGAATGAATCACTGAACATTACATCAGAAACTAATGATGTACTATACGTTGGCTAACTGAACATAATTTTTTAAAAAGCCACTTTCTAGACAGACAAGTTACCCATTCAAATAAGTTATTTTAAATAGAAATGAAAATGTACCTAAAACTCATTCTATGACTTCCCAGTGCTTTGACTGGGAAGTCAAAGTAAAAGTAAATATATACTTTTAAACACTGAACAGAAGTTTAAAAAATAGATAATAAATAATAGATAATAAAAAATAGAATAATAAATAATAATAATAAGTTTAAAAAATAGATAATAAATAATAGATAATAAAAAATATATAAATTTAAAAGTAAATATATACTTTTAAACACTGAACAGAAGTTTAAAAAATAGAAGCCCATTTTAAAATGAAATTCTGAAGTCTTCCATTCTTTTTCAAGTATGTGGGCTTTGGGGTACAGTGTTTTGTTTCCTTTGTTTGTTTCTCTGGATGCTCGGTTCTAGGCTTTATGCACCATACTGTGTCACTGGCTCCACCAGCCATCTTTACCTTTCTAAAACCAACTGAAGTTAAGGGTATCAGCAGCCCAGTTTTGGGACATGTAACTCTTAGAACACACCACCATGAAGTGAAAAGTTTCTACCCCTGGCACGCTCCTGTTTTTTTCAACCTTTTCAAGAGTACAAACTCAGAACTGGAGGCCAAAAAAAAAAAAAAAAAAAAAAAAAAACCGAGAAAAAAAAAAAAAAAAAAAAAAAAAAAAACCCTGGGATTAACAGAACTAGTTATTTGTGATCAACAGCCACATCAAAACCTTCTGGAAAGTATGCAGAGAGCAATTAAACAATAAGTAGAGAATAAAACATTATTTTAATATCATCTGTGTTTCATTTCAAAACTTATTAGAGAGCTTTGGTATAATTCTTCCATTTGGAATCGGGGGGAAAAAAAGAAACTTGTTAATGGAATAAAAAAAAAAATCTGAGTTTGATAGATCGCTTTACACATCCAAGAGAATTACTGCCTGGCTCTACCACCTGGTTTTACTTTTTTATCCATGCCATGCACATCACTACACACAAACACCTTTCTTCTGGTAAATGTGAAACACCTTATCAAACAACAACAGATTTTTTCCATTTACAATAACAATCTATATGAGGAAGTAACATCTGGTTTCCTCAAGACTTTTAACTATAACACCTAGAATCAGAGCAAACATCCAAGGGAGTCTCTAAGGTCACCAAGAGTTACATGCAAATTAAAAGGCCTCCCTCCCATAATGTGACTCAATTACTTAATTATTAAGCACATCGAAGACATGATATTGAGAGCTGAAGGGAACACAGTAAGGAAGAAGACACGCACTTTATGCTCTACAAGCTCATGGTCTGTAATGGATGAGATGTAAAAGAACATCAACAACACAGAAGCAAATACAATGCCCCTTGTGACAGAAAGCTGCACAGGCGACAAACATCACGGAGAAGAAAGGAATATGCGACAGAAAAAGACAGTACAAAGATCCCAAATAAACTCCTGCAGTAGTAGGAGAAGGTGGGACAGACGGCAGAGAAAGCAGCAGGCAGCTGTTCCAGCATGGACAAAGACAAGGAGGTCAAAGTAGGAGGAAAGTATTATATTGCAGAATTCCTATTTTAGGGAGACTAGTAAAGCTTCTATTATGGAAGGAGACTTAAGAAAGAGGCTGGAGAGTTTCTGTTTAAGTTACTGGGCAATGGGGAAGTGTCTGATGGCAGCACGGACACAGACTGGAACCAAACTTTAAGAATACGACACTGCTGGCAAGATATAAAAGGAAACACAAGGGGGAAAGCAACAAAGAGATGAGGAAATTCACAGAATGCTCTAGGCAGGGATGTGGCGACTAAAGGCATGTGGAAGATCCAAAAAAGGAAAGATTAAAGGAAAGGAAATTAGTTCTCTTGCTAGAATATACCTGAGGAAAACCCCAAGGAAGAATCAAAAGTCTAAAAGGCATCAGCAAACATCTTCTATAAAGAGCTACATGGTAAATAGTTTAGGCTTTGCTACTCACAGGTCCTCTGTTGGAAAAGTCTTAACTCTGCCACCTTAATGCAAAACAAACCATACATAATACGTGTGTGTGTGTGTGTGTGTGTGTGTGTGTGTGTTCCAATGAAGCTTCATTTATAAAAATAGACAGCAGGTCATATTTGGCTCAAAGCAGCAGCTGGCTGAGTCCTGAGATGGAAGGCAACAAATTCACAAAGGCCACACTAAATCCAAGGTTCCAGTAATGCCCATCCAGTTTCTGGAAATTCAAGTCACCAGCTGGAAACGAAGCTGGGGGAGATTTTCACAACGCATTCTAACGTGACCGTTGAAACAGTGGATAGAACAGACACTAAAGGTGTGGAGGGAACCCGACTGACTACAAAACGTTAAGTCTCTTTAGAGATGTAGAAACACTTCCACAGAATAAAAATTTTAGTGTGGAAAATGAAAAGGAGATAATATCACCACTGACAACTGTACGTCAACAACAGCAGCAATCATGGCTAACACTTAAAACGCACTTCGTCAAGTTAACCATCACACCGTTAGCTGTATTTGAAAACAGTGCAGCCGATACGTGTGACAATCCAGGGAAAATCTTCTCGTGACATTATAAACACTAAATCAGGTCATAAAACAGTCCAAGGCTGATTTTAAGGGAGTAAGCAGAACACCAGAAAATTAAGAGGGAAAGTTCAAAATAGAGATGCTTGCGTAAGGAGTTTAGTTAGAATACTAGTTCACGCTCTTACAGAATTTGGATGTAAAATGCTAGGGTAGACCAGAACTATAATCAAAGCAAAAATCATAGCCCTGTTATGGAATATTAATGTCACACTTTATACATGACCAAATAAAGTAGCAAAAGCTTCAACACAATTTCTCTGAGTCCTCTAGTTCTAAATATTCCCTTTTTACATCCTATTCTTTTTGTTTGGTGAGCTTTGTTCAGGTTAATAAAAGCCTGTAAAACAATTTCTTTAGAAACGAACCCAGCACAGACACATTTTTAAAAGATTTTATCCTTCAAAATATGAATGTTGGTAACAAAAATACCTCAAGAAACTTTAAAGTAGCATGAATTTCTGTGTCCTCATTTTAAATAGCCTTGAAATGTTAATTAAAACAAAAATTATGGACATTGGGGAGGGTATGTGCTATGGTAAGTGCTGTGAAATGTGTAAACCTGGCAATTCACAGACCTGTACCCCTGGGGATAAAAATATATTATATGTTAAAAAAAAATAATAAAAATTTTTAAAAAATCAAATGAAAAGATTTTTTAAAAAATTACATGTAAAGTTAATTCAACATAATCATTCTTATTTTCTTGAAATACACTTCTAAATTAGAGACATACCATTGACTAGAGCACTAACTTGAGTGATGCAGAAAACAAAGAAATCTTTTCCTCTTTTCTGCCAACTACTAAATACAAGAAATAATTTGTACAGAATCTTAAAATTCACAAAAGCATAGAAAATAAATGTGGTATAATATCATTCGCTTTATTTCATAAAAAAGAAAGTTGAGGAGGAACCGGGGTGGCTCGGTTCAGCATCTGCCTTCAGTCATGATTTCAGGGTCCTGAAGGAGTGCCACATAGGGCTCCCTGCTCGGGGGTTGGGGGAAGGTCTGTTTCTCCCTCTCCCTCTGATCCTCCCCATCCCATTTATACTCTCTCTTTCTGTCTCTCCCTCTCACTCTCAAATAAATAAATAAAATCTTAAAAAAAAAAAAAAAGAGAGACAGAAAATTACTATGATTCAAGAAGATAGTGAATCTTAGGGCCACTATGATTGTGGCCCTAAGTCCACACTTTGAGTTAGTACTGGAGCTGGGATGGGCGCCCAATATTCTCTGTTCCTTGAAGATCAGATCTCAGGACATAAACTTGGGTTTTGATCATGTAATAAATATTAGAGCAAACATTTCTTGATTGAACCACAAAGAAATTTACAGGATTATAAGAGATCAAACGTCTTCAAAGTAGAAACACAATATTTGATAGTTCACGTTTCCCTGAGTTTTGTGCACCGTCTAATAGTGGAGTAATAAACTCCTGTATACATCAAGGAAAACAACAGTTCTCTATAAGCAGTGGGTTGGGAAGAAATGTAGCTTCTCTCTACATGTTCTTTTCTCCTATTCCTAACATCCTTCCTGCAACGTGATGCTTAATCAATACAAAAACACTCATAATGATGACTAGGTCTTCACGCAAAGTCTTCTTTCATGAAAAAGT